GTCAAAGTACATGCACAAACAAATACTATCCAGAAATGACACATCATGACGGCCTGTTAACCATTTATATACTAGCAGTGTGTTTCTCATTGGTTCTAGAACAATCAATAAGACTCTCACATTGCAATTGGTCTAGATAAATCTATATCCAGTGGTTGTCAACATTTTAAGCATAACAAAATGTGACCCAATTTCAATGAAAATGATTCACTTATGTAAAAGTATATATGACATTTTGTGAAAAAGCTGTATGTGATGGAGGAAAATGGATATCATTTTTGGATTCAGCGTCCAGGAATTACTGTAGAATATGTTGAAATTTAAAGACAATAAAACCATCTAATATTTTCCTAAAGAAACTAATCTAACTAATCTACATCTATATATAATAGTAAGAAAGGGTGATACTAGTTAGTAAACATTTGTCATAAGATATGTTTGGTCAATTTTAAGAATGATATACTGTGTGTTATCATATTGGAATTTACGGTGAAAATAAGCTGAGCAATTCTATGTAATTTAAGAATACATTGTGTATTACTCTAAAATGATTAAACAAGGTATAATCATCTCCCAGTGGCTCAATGGTAAGTCTGAAGGCTTATGATGCTAAAAAAGCTAGGTTTCATTTATTACCCATAGTGGGCACAGCACAGACACCCCTTTGTGTAGCTTTGTGCTTAACTGCAAACAAACGGAGTACAATCAAGACTCAGATATAACTGATCAACTAATCTGAAGAAATGGTTGGAAAATTAATTTGTTTAGAATAAAATTCATTAAATCACATAACAGTGAGTTGAAAGCAAAATATTTTTTATCTTGTAATTGTTATTCTGAAAACTGTAGAATAGACCAAACCTGTCACCTATACTTCAAACAGCTTACTGAACTATTGTACAAGTTAATTTCTCTCAATTCTGAATATGTGGTCAGGACTTGTATTCACACTTACACTCTCATACATATCGAACCTAATTACATATCCATTATAATAAATTCTAGCTACAAAAATATGGTTCTAATTAACATTGTTTCAGAATATGTGAGTGCATTATTTTAAATTTTTCTTTTGATTTTCTTGCTAGAAGCAAACCACAACTCATAACTAGAATTATTGAGCTAAATAATTTTCTCCCTATGGTTTCATAAAGAGATGTTACATACTGTATGTAATACAGTTCCCACTACTTATAATACAAAATGTAAATAAGTTACTTAAAAAAAAAGAGTTGAAGAAAGAGCAAAATATATTCAAAGTATTTGCAATTTTTTTTATAAACAATCTGAGAAGAGGTAATTCAAATCTAGACGGTTATTTACTACTACTACATAAGGTTTTAAATACAGCATAAACCAGGGACTAAATGTATATGCAACAAGGAGAAAGCAGCTAAAGAGTGAAACTTCAGTAGCATCAAGACTGAAACATTGACAAACTAAATATAACAAACCTACAATCAAAACAAAATTATGAAAAACAAAAGAACTAAATCCTGAATAGCATATCTTGCCTCATCAGTCACAAATATAATAATGAAGGTATACTTGAAACAGGTTTTACCAGATTGCAGAAATCATCTCTTGCAAAGCTCCCAGATGGTCTTGGTATTTTTTCTGTAGTCATTTCTTCAAAATACCTGATCAGATTTTTCTGCATAGTATTAGTAAAAACCAGTTAGAAACAGAAATATACAGTGGCTTATTTCTTAAGGTCTAAACATTTCTGAGAAATTCTGAACATGCAACAAAGTTTTAGTTAAACAGAAATAAACCTTGACAAAAATAAGTACACTTAAAACACAAATAAAAGTATGCTACTAAAAATCTGATTCAGATCATGAGAAGTAATAAACATTACCATTGTATGTTTTAAATTTATGTAAAGAACTTTTAAGATTTATAGATGTATGTATGTATAGTTAAGTAATAAGAAAGAGCAGAGATGTTTTTCAGAAGTTATAAAAATATAGGTTTTACAGAATGTATTATCAAAACGCTATAATAAATACACACACATATTATAGATGGCAACTAAAATTTTAGTTTTGATATAATTTAGATTGGTCAGAAAAAACAGTCAAAAAAAGGTTCAATACTCTGCTTTTGCTGCTTAAGTTTTATGTATTATTACCTCATGAGATAAGTTTCAAAGTACAAAAATATACACCAAAATCATAAAACTTGCAATATTCAATAAAGGATAGCAGAAAATTGACAGTTATATATAATCTGTGAAGGTTCCTAAAAAATCTTCATTTGGATTTGGTATCTGATTTTATTCACACTAAACATGAGCAAAGACCTAGTAACGTATGTTAAGATACTTCGTATTATGACTGTAAATACAAACTGACATGCTCCAGTTCATATTTAAAGTTAACATATATTTCCGATATATACTTACCTTTCACACAGAAAGCTATCTTCCCTGTGCATCTGCTTTAGAGACTTGCTTGCCACTAGCCTGTATGCAACTCCCACCCACACTCACAAGATCTCCCGTGATTTGCACTACTGCACAATGTCTTTATTATGCAGCAAAAGCCCTCCACCAAAAGGAGATCGAAACAGCCTCCCTGTGCACTAGCTCCCTCTATGCTTTTGCACTCATGATCTTCATTCTGTGATGACGCAAGGAATACTAAGATGTACCAGAAGTGGGAACAAATAGTGGGAAGTGTGTGAGAGGTTAGTATCTATCGATAATACATTTTCAGGTACGGACAATACTCCGAGACAATACTCACCTCTCACACAGAAAGCTAGAATCCCTCCTTAATACGGTGAAGGGACCGGTGTGAAAGTTACCTAAACGAGCTCCTTTCAGAAAGCACCCGAAAGAAACCCTTGGAGTTTGATATCGAATGGCAGGAGCTCTACAAAGGCACACTCATGGGAGACTGCATCACAACTCTTTGGCCAGACTGGAAGGGGGTAAGAGGCAAACAAATCCCATGTATTGCAGGTATGGGCAGAATAAGAACATGGCCATCCAAGTACTTGCACACAAGAGGTCAGAGAACCAATATGTGTAGCATGGTTGGGTTGCATTCAGACTGTACGTAGTGCTCACAACTCTACTGTCAGACTTAGTGGACCAACACCAACTGCAGGAGGAGTGCACAGAATACATGAATTGATGTGTCTTGCCATAACTCTACTGTCAGACTTTTGGACTGATATCAGCTGCAAGAAGAGAGTGTGTGTGCAGGAGGAAGGCACAATTAGTCAGTAAGTGCACACCTCAACTCAACTGAACAGGAGATGATTGCAGGTAGTCAACTCCAATCCAAAACCAGGTGGCATTAGGTATGTGTCTTCTGGCCTGCGGTATGAGGAGGATCCCAACCATCTTTACCCCATGACCCCCTGCAGTAGTTCCATTTCCGTCATGCGGAACCTAAGACCATTGTGCCATATAGTGTCGAAAGCTTTCTCGACATCGAGAATCCAGTATGCCATCTTTTCCTGGTGCTTTGTTTTTTGGTAGCTTTTATAGCTAATTTTACCTCCGTTTCTGTAACTGTTTTGGTGAGTGGATAAGTAATTGTGTTTTCTGTTTCATCAATAGTTATTATTGTGTTTTGTATGTTAACAGGGAATTCTGGTGTATACATGGTTTTGTTTAGTTTAATGTGGTTATTAACTTTCTCGAAGAAGTGTGCATTCATATCTGGTTCCTGGTGTGTTTTAAATGTGTTTTGTAGGTGTACTTTAAATACCTCAGCATTTTCAGTGTTTCTGTATGGTGTCTTATTTTGTTTCTAAAGGTGGGTAGTTACTGTTTGGGTTTCATGTGTTGGTAAATCGTTTGAAGTGGGTCCAGAACTGTTTTGTCGTTTAGCTGTGAGCAGAAATTATCCCAGCTATCTTGTTTTCGTTGTCGGACTTCATTTCTTATTTTGTTTCTTAATGTATTTATTTGTGTGTTTTAAATTTAAGTGCGAGATTTCTGGTTTGTATGAATTGTCTGCTTAGTTTCCTTCTGTCTTTTATCATTTCTATAATTTGTGTGTGAAGTTGCTATGTTTGTGTTGTTATTGGTTGTTTATGTTTGGGTATAGTTTGTTTGCAATGCCAAATAACTCAAAATCAAATATACCACTCGCCTAAGGTATGTTTGTTTTTAGTTAAGCACAAAGCTACACAAAGGGCTATCTGTACTCTGGCCACCACGGGTATCAAAACCCGGTTTCTAGCGTTGTAAGTCCGCAGACATACCGCTGTGCCACTGGGGATGGCAAACAGTCTTTTCAGTTTATCAAAACTAAATACTTTTGAACGTAACAATTGAACAGTTTCTTTTTTTTTATGTGAACAAAATAGGCGACAAACATACGGCTGTGCTACTGGGGAGCTGGAAACAAGGACATTACCAGTTGGTTAGAGATCCTACTAAGAACAATGATATTTTATATTCATCGTTAACTTCTAATATAGAAATGGTTGATAGGATGGAGATTGGGAAACTTCCGGATGCGAGTGATCATTGTTCAATTAAATTTGATGTTTTGCTACATACGGAGAAATGGATTAATGACATTTTTTAAAATTCTTTTAAAGCAAATTTTGAAGGGATGAAAGAAAAGAATTATCTGCTGTCATTTTGGCAAATGAATTAAGTTGTGATACTGATGAAATGTGTGAAAAACGTTTGAATAACATTTTAAACATTCAAAAGAGGCATGTTCTTTATGTAAAAAAAAAGGGTGGCTGTAATTAACAAATTAGGTTGATTCACAAAGGGCACAAGGAATAAAAATAAAGCATTATAAATATAAAAAGTTCAAACTGACTTCAATGATAGGAGATTTGGATTATTATAGAAGATCAGCATAGTTGGTCAAAATGGAAATTACGAAGTCAAAATAACAATATGGAAAACAGTTAGCTGAAAATGTAAAAAGTAATAATAGAAATTTCGTTAAATGATAGAGTGGGAGTAGGCAAGGCCTTTGATGGATGGCACAAGAAGGCTACAGTGGCACCAGTTAGAGACGGGAGACTGGGGTGGAGCCACCACACCTTAGTCTTTTTTTTTCTTTCTTTGAGAAATGTAAGACGTGTGGTTAACGAGCAATATTTATGGGAAATTAAATATTAATATATATACAATGTACAAAGTCGAAATTTCCGTGGTTTTTGTTGTTGTTCCTCATATCACTCTGGCTCTTACGTAGTAATTACAGTTAATGTGTGAACTCCTAAACGTGATATGCCATCAACAGTTCATGTATTTTGTAGAAATTATGGTTCAATTTGGCTGAAATGGCGCCATTGAAAGACTAATATATAATGCTAATGGGATGGTTGATTGAATAAATCCTACTTTCTCTCCATTTTTAGTAGCAAACATTTATGCACTATATCCATACTGAATAGTTGCTAGATGGAAACAAGATGACCAATTTACTTCTGCGCTCGTTAAGAGAACATGAAGAAGTTTAAATAATGATAAAGATCCTGAGCCAGATATTATCTACCCAAGAGTTTTTAAAGAGGCTAAAGATTGGGTATGTGACCAACTTGCTACTATTTTTCCAAGTTTCTGAATAGTGGGTAGGTGCCAGAAGATTGGAAGTTGGCTAATAATAATCCTCTTTTCAAGGGGGTGGTAAAATTGCCCTAGTAATTATAGGCTTATTAATCTTACATAAGTGGTAAAAAAAGGTTCTCGAAACTCTGATAAAAATGCTTTGCAAAGTCACTTAACAAAGTTTGAAATTTTATTGAATAATCAACATGGTTTCACTGAAAGAAAATCTTGCCTTACTAATCTTTTGACATTCTTTGAAGATGTTATTACTTATGCAGATAGGGGTATGGATGTGAATTTGGAGTATCTGTATTTTCAGAAAGCATTTGACACACACATAGAAGTCTTGTTATAAAGTTACCTTTGTAGATGTGTGGGATAGGTTGGTTCATTGGATAGAAAACTGACTAGATGAAAGAAAGTAGAGGTTGTTACAGATGGAATTCATTCAGTCAAACTGGATTAGAGTCACGAGCTGGGTATGTCAGGGCTCAGCGTTAAGATTTTGGCTTTTTTGATTTACATCAATAACATAGATGAAGGAATGATCAATAGATAATTTAAATTTACTGATGGTATTAAAGTTTTGGGCGTTGCTGGTTGTGAGAAAAATGCTGCTGCTTTACAAAAGGATTATTTGGTTAGTTGGATGAATAGATGGCAGATATGGCTTTTAATTATAATAACTGCAAAATAATGCATGTGAGATATCAAAATTTGAATTATGTTAGTTTGTAGCACAAAGCTACACAATGGGTTATCTGTGCTCTACCCACCATTTCTATAACATTCCGTAATAGTTAAACGAACCTTTTTAATCAACATGTATATTATGTATTCAACGTAAACACCATTGTCGGCCTAACAACAATATCAGGTGGTAGTTTTGTTGCTGAACGACGATGCATATTGTTGAGCATTACCAAAAAAAAGTGGGGGGGGGGTGTGACCAAAGGACATACATTGACTTTTATAAATTGTTACGACAGCGGAAGTCACGTGACTCTGGTAACACTTAACGAGTTCTAGAAAGATCGGGGAAAATCACGAATAATCCAGTATTTGCTAGGCGCCCTCTATTCTTGTATAGAAGTGCGCCAGATAAAGCGAAATAATTAATCGGAATTAGAGATTGAAGATATAGATGGACAATTGAGTCAAGCGTGGTAGGAAGTAAAGTGCGTGAATCGTTCGTTGAGAATTATAGCGTGTGTTTAAGTGTGGAAATTAAGTTTATTGCAAAGTTGTATTGAGAAAGAATATACTAGTTTTATTTAAGAAAGGACTTGTATCGCTGAAGTTTCTCGGAAAGAATTTCTACGGGAAATTAACAAACGAACAGAGACGTAACAAATTGGCGTCAGAGAGTGGGACGGAAAATAAAATAAAAAAAAGAAGACGAAGATGGAAACGAGAGGTGGCAAATCAAACTACAGCTTAGCAGATTTGATGGCAGCAATACAAGAACAGCAAAAGAAACAAGAAGAGAGATTACAGCAGTTGTTGGAGGAAAAGAAAAGAAACAAGAAGAACGAGAAAATAAACAAAAAGAACGAAAAAAGAAACAAGAAGAGAGATTACAGCAGTTCTTGGAGGAAAAAAGAAAAGAAACAAGAAGAGAGGCAACAGCAGTGGCAAGAAAACCTGCAACAGTGGCAGCTAGAACAGCAAAATAAACAAGAGAGATTACAGCAGTTGTTGGAGGAAAAAGAAAAGAAACAAGAAGAACGAGAAAAGAAACAAGAAGAGAGACTACAGCAGTAGTTGGAGGAGAAAGAAAATAGTACAAGAAGAGAGACTACAGCAGTGGGTGGAGGAGAAAGAAAATAAACAAGAAGAAAGTCTCCAACAA